AAATATTGTAATTTGTCATTGTGGGTGAAAGAAATGGAACCTAATCGTCATTTAGAAGTTCAATCGGTTAGCCAGCATTCATTAATTCTTTAAGAATTGGTGGCATAATTATACTTAATTGATTTTATTGTCTTAGTTTTATGTTGCTGCCAAAGAGCCAATTTATAAAAAAGAGGCTAAAGAATACCTTCAGCAGATGAGACTTCTTTTATCTAAAAGAGAGTTGGCTGAGGAAGCTAACTACGGTAAACACGATTTTTTTTTTTATTTCAGAAAATATATATTGTGTAATTTTATGACATTCTTACTATCTTTATGGCCGCGTAGTTTTTAGTGCGGCAAATGCATATAGTAATCGGAGTAGTTTGTTTTCATTTGATAGTACCAAACAAGAATTTAGAGATAATGGCAGTGGAAAAATTCCACTTGAAGAGGTAATATATATAGCGCGTTTTTAGAATTATAATGAACAGACTACTTTTCTAATATTTAATAATGATATCACTTTATTATAGTCCTTCAATCATTGTCTTCGGACTATTGTTCCATTGATTGTTAACGAACAAAAGTTTATGGCTGATTTTTTTCATCTTGCCAAAAAAGATTCGAAGTCATCATTTTACGATTCAGAAGTGTTCCTTAAGGATTTGGATGATAATGAAAGTGAAATTATGCATAAAAAGCTTCTGCTGTAAGTTATTATTTTGATCCAATATATATGGATATATTTTTTAATTTACTTGAGATTTCTAAATGGTTTTATTTTAAAGCGAGCACATGGAAAAGCTATTCAATTTTCTCCCAGATGAATTATGCGCATTTATTGATTATGGATGTAAGCTTGACACAGCGTAAGAATATTAAGCATCTAATTTGTTAGATATTTTAAAACCTATATTAAATTTCTAACTAAATGTTTTTCAAATTTTACATCAAAAATAGCCAAATAGTAGGAATTATTGTATCTATTGAAAAGCTCATGCATGAAGATGAAAGACTTAACTACAATTATGTAATTAAAGTGTTTCGAAATGTCAGGAAACATTGTCTTGTAATTTTGGAACGATTTATTGTAAGTATTCAATTCTTGCTGACAATGGCAACTTCTAAGTATATATATATACATACGTGTTTATTGTTCATTTCAATGTGGCTAAATTAGAATGAGCAACTCAAAGCAATTGAAGATACTAAAGTTACTTCAAAGAAACGAAAAGGAATAGTTCTGTTCATTCGCATATTTCCGGTGCGTATATCTAGTTTTCAAGTATATACCAGGTTCACGTAGACTGCCAATCAGATTTAAACAAGAAGACAAGCAGATTAACACATTATAAGGTAAAAAGGGGTAATTTGACGAAGTTAAAATAACTAATATATAAAATTTTTTTATTTTAATATTAAAAAAGTTTTTATTTTTTTGTCTTAAACTTTATACATAATTTAGAATTATTTTTATATAAAATTAGTAATATAGCACCTTGTTTTAACGTGACGCTAAATAGGATTATACATCGTATCAAAAAGCTTAAAGTTTAGAAAGGGTAGGGGTAATTTGACGAATTGATGATATCTCGTGTGATCCAGTGATTAGGATCGAATAATTTTTATACCACTCGATTCGTCTCGATGAGACGAATCGAATGGTACAAAGCACATCCGATTCTGGTCACTGGGTCACGAGATATCATCGATTATATGCTGAGCAAAATAAATCCTTGGGGGAATTTTGACGAAGTGTAAACTTAGAAATAATTGATGATATCTTGTGATCCAGTGGTCAGAATCAGATAAATTTTGTACCATTCAATTCGTCTCATCAAGACGGAGCGAATGGTATAAAATTATTCTCGATTCCAATCACTAGACCACAGAGATATCCAGATTCGTCAAATTACCCCTTTTTACCTTATAATAATTAGATTTAAAATATTTGTACCGTTCGACTCGCCTGCTAAAATGAATGATTGGTACTAACATCGTTAAATCCTTTCACTAATCATGTACGAATTTGATTGGCATTCTACGCAAAACCTGTATTTTTTTCATAGTATTGTTCAAATTATTCAAATTTATTAAATGTATAATACTTATTCTTGAAATAGCGTTTTGTAGAGCGTATAGAACATTCAATGAATGGAGCGGATCAACTTGAAATACGCCAAATTGTGAATAGCGGCTATGAAAAGATTGTTAAAACGATGTTTGATTGTTTAGAAGCGATTTCAAAAGACGAAGAGTCACCCGTTGATGATAGGGAACAGTTAAATGCACATATAATGACTTTAGGTAAGATTTCATATATTTTACGCTTTGAAGTAATCTTAAGAAACTAATTTTTTTTATATCTGTTCAATATAGAAAACATGCACCACTTTTATACTGAGATTAGAACTCGTAAAATAATGGTTCTTGAACCATTTATGAGATATGCACGAATTTCATACGATAGACATTTAGAAGTTTATGCCAAATCAGTTGTCCGGAGGCCGTTTGGTAAACTGCTGGTGTGTGATCTCAGAGGATGATCAGAGTCATATTAACTGTCAACAAAATTTTCGACTTATAACCATTTATATACATTTCAGGAATTCTTTGAAGGAATAGAAAGTCTTTTAAGAACGACATCAGCGCCAGAAGAAGTTGGATTTCGACTCAAATACAGCAAAGATGCTTTAAAGAAAGTTGTGTCACAGTACCCTGGAAAAGAAGTTAGTAATAGTATTACAATTTTTTTACAGTCTTTAAAATCTTGTCTTAATATAAATTATTTTCATACAGATAAAAAAAGACTTGAATTCATTGTATAAACGAGTTGACAAACATTTTACGGAGGAAGAAGGATTATTACAAGTTGTATGGCGAAGTATAGAAGAAGAAGTAATTAGAAGTTACGAAAGATTTACATCGATTATTAATAAATGTTATCCAGATTCAAATATTTCTTTAGAGTTTTCGATAGATGATTTATTGAATTACTTTTCAGAGTTAGCTAGAAGTCATTAGCTTGGCTATTACTGTAATAAGGTAATTGCAGTATGTTTATATCTGATTCCTATTTTTAACCAATCATGATAACAGAATTTTAGCTCTGGGACCTATTACCCTATTTTATAATAATGACATTGAAAAGTTGTGCTATTGGTATTTAGAAATATTTTTTTATTTATTTACTTTATTTTACAGTGTATAATAATACTTTAAAGGATAATTGTAGTGGTAGATAATATATTGAACAAATTATATGTTTTTAGTGTAATAAAGTTTTTGACTAAGCACTGATAACTTTAATTTTGGTTTAAAAATTTGGCCAAATTTGCGTGAAATAAAAATACAACTGCTCATTAAAAATGGTCTAATTAGGGATCTGCATACCGGCATATGCCCGTGCTTAAAATTTAGGATCCCAGATATGCGATACGTATCATATAACATATATATATATATATATATATTTATTTATTTATTAATATTTTATCGCATTAACATTAGAGACAGTGCCACCTTAGGTTAGGGTTGGTGTAAGGTTTGGGTCAAAATCCCGACATTCCGACAATTAAAAAAATACCGTATCCTATCGTGAATAAGCACTACACCCTTTACCCCAAATTTTAAATGTCAGATTAACGGAAATCGCAATGAAGTCTTTAGCCAAATTATTACCGCTAATCTGATATTTAAAAAAGTGGGGTAGAGG